TATTCTTACGATCTACGTAAGCTTAACTATTACTAACTTAACGATTCTTACGATCAACGTAAGCTTAACTATCACTAACTTAACGATTCTTACGATCAACGTAANTCTACGATGGTCGTAAGTTCTATGATGGCCATAAGCTCTGTGATGGTCGTAAGTTTTACGATGGTCGTAAGTTCTGTGATGGTCGTAAGTTCTACGATGGTCGTAAGTTCTACGATGGTCGTAAGTTCTACGATGGTCGTAAGTTCTACGCTGGTAGTAAGTTCTAAGATGGTCGTCAATTCCACGGTGGTCGTAAGTTCTACGATGGTCATAAGTCCTACAATGGTTGTAAGTTTTACGATGGTCGTAAGTTCTACGATGGTCCTAAGTTCTACGATGGTCGTAAGTTTGAGTACTATGAGTATCACAAATGGGACTAGACTTTTAAGGATCTTAATTAACTTCCCAAACGCATCCTCAATTTGTACCCGAAGTTTTACTTGTGTTGATGATAATGAATTGCCTACAGGTGAAAACATCGCCGAAATTGTAAAAGTTTAAAAAATCTAGTAAAATGAATGTATATAATAACGAAGGTTTCTTTTTAAAGATAACAAGTTATTTTAATAATATTGAATTTTTTTGTAGCCTGAATGATGACAATAGATGAATTTTACTAAATGTTTGCCCAAAAAATTTACAATTAAATAATTTTTCTTGTCCGGAATAAATCATCTGTTTATTTTCGTCGTCAAACCAATCATGGACGTTTGTTTGAAAACACTGTAATCCTTCCGTATGAAGTGCCGGTGACTCCACACTCGCCAATTAACCTCCATGTGTGAGTCTGTGTGCATATGTATGAGTATACATATGTGTTTTTTGTGCACCCATTTATCTAATTTTGTGTTTAACCATGCGCCCTGTGTCGATCGTATCTTCATAGAAAATGCCATGCAAGCTTGTCTTTACGTGTAAACTCTTGAGTCGCTCCATTTATACAGGTTTCTTTGGGCGACTTACCTATGAGCTCGGAAATTAATTGGTTCCGCTATTTTCATGATTCTCTAGTGTCTAAATACAGAGAATTCCCTCGGTCTAAACTCGTTTCAATTCTATTCTATACCGAATTCTATATTTCCCTCACCTCACAGTTGTCTTAACTTTTTTATGCTGAATAAAAAACTTTCATCAATCAACGGTCGTTTTAATTTTGTTCTGATACAAACACTGCCCTCGATCTACATTTGTTTCAACATTTTTAAATAAAAAAAAACTTTCATCAATCGACGGTCGTTTAAATTTTGTTTTGATATTAAATACAAAGACAGCATCCCTCGATCTACGTTTGTTCCAAAATTTTTTTTTATTCTGAATAAAAAAAAACTTTCATCAATCGACGGTCGTTTCAATTTTGTTTTGATATTAAATACAAAGACTGCCCTCTATATACAGTTGTTAAAATACTTTCCCCTACTAAATCTGTTCACTGTCGAAGTTTTTGCAGGGAAATTGAAGCTTGTCGACAGATCGACATTCCGGGTGCGCGGATCTGCAATTCCTCCGCTGATGACCGAATTGTTCCCGATGGTTAGCCTCTAATAGCCCACTGCACTCAGATAAATGAAGAGAATTTGTCTAAATAACGATGCAATTCTTGCCCATCCTGACCCAGTTTTGTCATCGTGACCCCGACCATGCAGTAAATGAGTCACTATTTGGACAATTTGAATCGTTCATCTTTCGGAGTGTGAGCTCTGCAGCTGATGACCAGCTTCTCCTTTTAACCTAATATGAAAACTATTGTGAATTATCGCCTGTCTTTCTTTGGCCGTCTCTAAATCGCCTGTAATTTTGAACAAGGAATGACGGGCGCATTCCCCGATTTAATGGGGATTTTTTTGTGGTACAGCAGACATGCACTGTCGCTGTGCCTACACTCAAAGAAATGAGTGAGATTTAGTCCAAATATCGATGAACTTTTTTTTCCTCGTTTGGATCAATATGACGTTTAAATTCTCACTCGTTAACTACAGTGGCTATTACTTACCCAGGATTTATCCACGTGAATTTATGAATTCATGTGAATTATCAGAATTTATTCACTGTTCTTGAATGAACTGGTCCTTAATTGCTGTGTCAGATACAGTTAAAATATCAGTTTATTTGTTGGGAGTCACGACTGCTTCTTAACTGTTATTTCACATTACTATATATATACTGTAGTTGTGAGTCATATATAGTTGTGAGTCATATATAGTTGTGAGTCATATATAGTTGTGATTCATATATAGTTGTGAGTCATATATAGTTGTGAGTCATATATAGGCGTTAGTCACTCGTTTTGGGCCCGGAGACTTGAACGCATCTTGGAGAGTGAGCGAGCTGAACGATTGTGACGTAGTTGAAAAACGATCTCTTTGTGTGAAATTCTCAAATGTAAATAATCGTTAATGCTTATCTTACCTATTTTATTCGCACCCACAAAGATAACAATCACCAACATGAATAATTGGTTCAGGGCCCCCCATGAACATTGCTGCCATATCACATAAATGTTGGACGAACATTAGCTCTTCTAAATGATGTCGCTTTCTGAATCATTTCATTCTCCGAGTGAGGTAGGAATTTCCTCTTGGATTGCCATCTGTGGTACCGGTTACTTAACTTTGTGTAATAAAAAACTTGGTATTGCGAAAGGTTCATACGACGGCAAACAAATGGTTATTTTTTTATCAAACCTTAATTACCAATCGGCTTGTACTATGGAATTTGTCAGTTATGTTTTGAAAACGAAATGCATAAATGGCCTCTAAGACCATCAGGCGCTTTGCTTAAGCAATAAAAGTATGACTGATCTAAAGTTTCGAGAATTTATTGCTTTCCGACTGCAAATAATTTGTCAACATCTGACAGCGGCTGCATTGCGGCAATTTACCTCATTGCTGGCGCAATAAATATTTATTGCAGTCGTCGGTTGATTACATCGATGTGAGCTTCATCCACTCAGCCACGGTTGAATTATAGTCGATTTATGGTAGTCCTGCGATTGGCTGACGTTCATATGGCTTGCCTTTTAAATTCTTCTGACAATTCTCGAAGTGTGTTGAACTTGTTCGCTTATAATTGCACATAATTTACCATTTTTACTTTCACCTCTACCTCTCGTACCTGATCATTGTTTTCAATGTGATGCTCTATTGTTTGTATCTTGGCTTTCTGCAAGCAAATATGGGATTTTTTTGCGTCATTTGGAGTTCTGAATTTTTTTACCTACTGTAAAAGTCAGTTGTTGCAAGAAACTCTGATCTTATTTATGCTTTGTTGTTCGCCAAACTTTGCACACTCGCTCTATTTCAATGAATTTAAATTGACTCTCCATTTTTATAAACATATTCAAAAAATTTAATAATCTCTTAAATTTGTATTGTGCCAGTGTATTCAAACAGCATTGTAGCTAAGTATTTGAATATTCTCTATTATAACGTGCATTAAATATGTCATCCTAGCTACTGTAACTTGACCAGTCGTAGTACCTAACGAACGTCGTCCTAATTATAGAATTCCCCAACGTGTACAACCTAACGGATTTACATCCTTAGTACCAATATCACCTCACGCGTATAAACTAACGAATTTGCATCCTAAGTACCGAATTCCCCAACGTGTACAACCTTACGGATATGCATCCTTAGCACCAAAATTCCCTTATACGCTCAACCTAGCGGATTTGTATCCTTAGTACCAATATTACCTTACGCGTACAAGCTTACGGATTTACTTCCTTAGTATCAAAATACTTCTCGTGTACAACCTAACGGATTTATGTACTTCCTTAATACCAAAATTTTCCCACACGCGCAACCTAGCGGATTTGCATCCTTAGTACCAAAATTTCGCTGTACATAAAACTAAAAGCCCGTCAACACACGACCGGTCCATGCAACCTTGCACTGTCGTTACCGTCGCCCTGACTCCTGTCGTTGACAGTGGCACCCGCTGGGAACCTTGCGGTTGCCGTCAACATGAGCCGCTGAGTTGTGTTGCATTGTTGTGCTGCCCCGCAGGAAATCTTAGCTTCGTCGCCGAGGAAAATAATTGCACCAAATCTGACTCCAGTGACTTTTTTTTTCATTTTGAGCTACCCAGTGAAAATTTACAGACGTGGCAGCTTCTGATTTGGATTACCAGAAGCTGGAGCGACTCTAAATTTTGTTAGGGTATAAGTTCTGTTGAGAACAGCTATGTCGGTGCACCATCATTGTACTGCTTAGTGACTGACTATATATAGACATGGGAGCGATGAGCATTTATATATATGTAAGCAAATACTGTTTTTATTCCAGTTCAATTTAGCGAGAGCTTTATGCATTCAAATTTTTGTTTGAGTGACAACTGCATATGTTCACATGTGTATGTGATCGAGTACTGCCTGTATTCATAGGTGTACGTAAGTATTTATATATTTCCTGTGTTTACATGTACTTGGTCTGGTGCCAGGATTCTTATGTGTATGCGTGAACGAGTAAGATGGTGCTAGTGAGATCCGTTTCATTTAGATTATTCCGTCAAACCTGAAAGTTACTGGCGTTCTTTACAAATTAGCGTTTAGTACCGAATGCGTTGGCTAAGGCTAGAACGATTGAAATGTTATTTCAAGATTCTTGCCTGCGGCTAATTTTAGACTGAGAGATTGACGATAATCGATGAAATGATTATAATTACAATGAAATTTAGTATTGGCTTATTGGTTGGTACGCTTTAGGCTTGGCCTGGCTAAAGGGACTGAACACTATCAGTGTTACCCGCAGAAAATGGGTCACCATTTGCACAATATTATTCCTAAATTTTTCTGTCTGTATAAGTTCGCTTCTATCGGAATCACTTTACTATAGTTTTTGATCTAGTGTAAAAACTCCTTGATTGTGAGTGCCTGCGAGCTACAGGTTTTTGCTCTATGTTTGTTTGTCTACTTATATCGCTTGTCCTAAAATTCCCTCATTTATTCGTTCCAGAAAAGTGTGCCGCAACTGCAAGTGTTCTCAAGACCACCACACGCATCCTCCCACCTGCCCACGATCCAATAACCAAGCTAATCTAATCCAATCATCAACCACGCTACCCAACCCTGTCCCCAACTCCGCTGGGGTAGTTCCCGACCTAACTCACAGACCCCAATTCCCCACCTCGCAGCCTCAAGCCGACACCTACCAAAGTTTACCCGTTGTGTCCAGTGCTGAACAGTCGCTCTATTCTTCTGTACACCGCACCATACCTGCGGTGAATCAACCTGCCTTGCTTCAACAGTCCAATCACCTTAATTCTACACAACATCATCAACCAAATCATACTTCTAAGCAGCATCAGTCACGAAATCATCATAATTATACTAAAAATCATCAACCTAATAACAACCCAACCCAGCAACCCAACCCAAATCATCCCAACCTAGCAGAACAACAGCAACATAAACAAGTTTCCGCAATGAATAAGCAAAATATCCACTGTCATATACCTCAGCATCAGCTTTCGAAACATGAGAACCTTCATAAGGATCAACAAATTAATTACAGAAACTCAGTCATCAATAAACAAGTTACTCATCTTGACACCAGAGCCCCAAATGCTCCCATGATGAACTCGAAGTTTTCTGTCCCTGTTCCTCAACAAACTCAGCCGCCGAACATGGCGCCTCGAGAGCGGACCAACCTTGACATGCACACGAACAGTGGGACGTTATACTCTTCTGTTCCGTGCTCTAACGTTACTGCCAGTGTCAGTAATTCCACGGAACTAAGAAATCCGGGTCATCAAAATGGCGTTTGTAAGAGCAAATCAAATTCGATATCGGAAAACTCCGCTCCTACTCCGTCTTGCACTCCCCCGTTGATCCAAGTCTCGTCATCCTGTACAGTTTCTGATCAAAAGTCGAAACTTTTCCAACCACTTCCAGCAGCATCGAGTTCAGCGCCAGATCCTTCCCCCGATAGATCAAATATTCATTCCTTGAACACTCCCGCAATTGCTCAAACTAACGCTTCCACGACTCCTTCTTCCAGCCCCATGATCCCCCTTTCCAACTTCTCGACTCCTAACACAACTAACACTTCCACTTTTTCTTTATCAAACACCTCCACCGCTGTTCCTCCATACAACACCCCAACTCTTCCTCCATCCAACACTTCTAATTTCCTCCCATCCAACTCTGCCCTTCCTTCCTGCAACACCTCCACTCTTCCCCCATCCAACACCTCCACTCATCCATCATCCAACATCCCCACTCTTCCATCATCCAACACCCCAACTGGTCTACCATCCAACTCCTCCTCTCTTCCACAATCCAACTCCTCTTCTCCTCCTTGCAACTCTACGAGCACCATCCCTCCTCGTTCATCCATCATCCCGATGGCCAACGGCCTCCCTCCTCCGACGATCCACGCGCCGCCGAAGAAGTCGTTCGGCGCGTCGCTGGGCAGCGCCCTGAGTGGCGTCCTCGGCAGCATCGGCGCCGATCACCACCGGCACAGCCACAGCGACGACGACTCCGGCTGTGCGCTGGAGGAGTACACGTGGGTGCCTCCTGGCCTCAAGCCCGAGCAGGTTAGTTACTTTCTTTCTACTCTATTCATTAATATATAATTAATTAATATATGAACATAGGGTTTATAATATCTTTAATGACCCCTGCGCTGGAGGAGTACACGTGAGTATCGCCTGCCCTCAAGGCCGAGCAGGTTAGAGTTACTTTATACTCTAAATTATTTTGCTCTACATTTATTGTACATTATTCATCGCTACCGCTTCGAGTCCCATGGATCGTGATAATCTCGACTGGCACAATTCGTACGCTGTAAGGTTAGAAATTCACAAAATTTCAAGACATTTTGAATTCTTAGTATACTGCATCAATAGTATTATGATTCTGGGATGAATTTTGTTAAAGATGTCTCCAAAATGAATTTGGCCAAATGAGATGGGTAAGTGCCGATAACGTTGATTTCAATAATGGAGTATTAAATTTTTAATTATTTATGATTAAGTATTACGTTTTTAATTAATGTTACCAAAGTGCGTCACCTTGTATGAAGGGGTGGAATATCGCTATGCACTCAGAGAAAAATTAATGGGTATTATCAATAATGAGTTTCTCTGCGACCGCGTTGCCGCCTACCTTATTGAAGATTAAAACTGCGTGTAAACTAGCCTAAGGTCGGTTTTGAATCGTAGGTTTATTAATCTTATTCATCTTTATCGGTCATTATGTAGGTTTTTTTTTACACCCACTCATTTCTTTCGGTGTATTATTGTCCATCAAAAGGACGATAGTTCTCCCTCCATATCTTTGTCATAATATGCCATATCTCTCATATGATATGCCATATCTCTGACATGATATTCCTGATCTCTGATACGATAGGCCATATCTCTGATATATGATACATCTCTGCCATTATATACCACATCGCTGCCATAATATGTCACATCTCTGCCATAATATGCATACCTTAGTCATAATACGCTATATCTCTGCTAGTATGCCGCCACATTTCCGCCATAAAATGCCATATCTCTTCCATAATATGCCATATATCTGATACGATATGATACATCTCTGCTATAATAGGCCAAATCTCTGCAGAATAGGCCACATCTCTGCCATTATATGCCATATATCTGTAATAACATATAATTTTCACTTCCCTCTTCCATTCATCACCGAGACGGTAAAATGCTAGCCTCGGATGACGTTTTTACGTCGGGTTTTCTGCAATAATTTCGCTAATATATCGCAGTTTGGAAACAAAACAAGCAATTACTGATGAAATTGCCCTGTGTGACACTCAATCAACTCCTGTTGTTGTTGACTCCGGAGTGACCTTCATGACCTATAACAGAGGCGTTACTGTGACCTCGCGATGACAAGTTGCCACTGAGGAAAATGATTGGTCATATTGTGCAAATAGTGACACACTTTCTTTCTCAAAGTGCAAGCTGAGAGTTCATGTAGCACAAATTCACCCATTTGGGACCAGAATAACCTACATAAGGACAAAAGTGCATCGCTGTTAGGACAAAGTATCGCTTTTTAGCGCATTTTCTCACTTATGGAAAAAATGCACTATTGTGCTCGCTATGTCCGTCTGTCCGTCCGTCCGTCTGTCTGTCCGTCCGTGACTTCACGTTTTCGTCGACGAGAAAATGCGCTCTCTGTCACTCACTGCAGTGAGTACTGAGTTATATTTTTTTTCTGAGTCATTGCTGGTAAGTACCGGCGGTAATAGCACCCCCTCTCTCCCCCTTCCCCCTGCAGATGATCAAAATTATGCATTACAATGAATTTGTAATGAATTTTCTTCTTTGATTCCAAGATCGTAAATATTTACCCTGTTATTCCATAGATTAAGTCGAAAGAACAATGAGAAATGAGTAGTAGAACACATGTTACGAAATAATGCACAATGAGAAATTCTAGTTCATGGTGTTACTCAATGCTTCTTTCCTGACTTATTATTATTCGGAGATTATCAATATAAATTTAATCATTGCTGAGTTAAGTCAATCCCAACTTATAGTGAATGATTAAGGCTATTGAAGAATATAATATATATGAAGGGTGTAGTAATGGAAATGATATATTATATATAATATATCTCTGATACGATAGGCCATATCTCTGATATATGATACATCTCTGCCATTATATACCACATCGCTGCCATAATATGTCACATCTCTGCCATAATATGCATACCTTAGTCATAATACGCTATATCTCTGCTAGTATGCCGCCACATTTCCGCCATAAAATGCCATATCTCTTCCATAATATGCCATATATCTGATACGATATGATACATCTCTGCTATAATAGGCCAAATCTCTGCAGAATAGGCCACATCTCTGCCATTATATGCCATATATCTGTAATAACATATAATTTTCACTTCCCTCTTCCATTCATCACCGAGACGGTAAAATGCTAGCCTCGGATGACGTTTTTACGTCGGGTTTTCTGCAATAATTTCGCTAATATATCGCAGTTTGGAAACAAAACAAGCAATTACTGATGAAATTGCCCTGTGTGACACTCAATCAACTCCTGTTGTTGTTGACTCCGGAGTGACCTTCATGACCTATAACAGAGGCGTTACTGTGACCTCGCGATGACAAGTTGCCACTGAGGAAAATGATTGGTCATATTGTGCAAATAGTGACACACTTTCTTTCTCAAAGTGCAAGCTGAGAGTTCATGTAGCACAAATTCACCCATTTGGGACCAGAATAACCTACATAAGGACAAAAGTGCATCGCTGTTAGGACAAAGTATCGCTTTTTAGCGCATTTTCTCACTTATGGAAAAAATGCACTATTGTGCTCGCTATGTCCGTCTGTCCGTCCGTCCGTCTGTCTGTCCGTCCGTGACTTCACGTTTTCGTCGACGAGAAAATGCGCTCTCTGTCACTCACTGCAGTGAGTACTGAGTTATATTTTTTTCTGAGTCATTGCTGGTAAGTACCGGCGGTAGCCAGTAGCCATTGTTATGGTATTGAATTTAAATTAATTTTTTTTAACTCTCCATTTTTCAATTTATTCAATGTCATCGGTTATTCTGTACATCCAATTAATATCAAGTCATTGTTAAGTTTGTCACTGAGTGGTTGGAGATGTAATCCCCTTGAGGAGTTGCGGGGGACGCTAATTAGAGCGACTCATTATCCGTCCTCATTGCCCTCACTCATTAACCGCCCTCATTCCGCACTCGCATCACGTTTCGTCCGTCCGCCGCTCGCACGATCCGCAAATTGAAGACGCGGACAGCGTTTGCTTTGTACCGTTCGCACGCGCTCTGCCTCCATTGAAAATTATCGCCGCAACATCGCCGGCCAACCGTAGGCCGTTCATTACCCGAATTTATTTAGCCTGTAGGGTGCCTTGGTGCAGCCCTGAGCTGAAATTTTTGGAGATTTATAGCCGGACAAATTCTTGAGCGCCGATAATTCGGCCATGATTTTTGTCGAAGGAAATTTCATTGATTAGACCAATTCTGCGCCAGCGTCTGGCCGCAATATTGAGGGAGAGATCGTGCTGACATGCGTGCTGACATTCGTGCTGACATGCGTGCTGACATGCGTGCTGACATGCGTGCTGACATGCGTGCTGACATGCGTGCTGACATGCGTGCTGACATGCGTGCTGACATGCGTGCTGACATGCGTGCTGACATGCGTGCTGACATGCGTGCTGACATGCGTGCTGACATGCGTGCTGACATGCGTGCAGACATGCGTGCTGACATGCGTGCTGACATATTATTAACCAACCAGAAAATTTGATCAATGCGAATAAGTTACTGACATCACTGATACCTTTATTTCGCATTGAGCCACCAATGTACTTAATTAAGCGACGTCTAGTCTGATAACTGGAACATAGTTTTTTTCGATCACTGGATTTTTTTCTGCCACCGGGAAATTAAAATTTTTCATTTTTATTTTTAAATTTTCAATAATTCTACTTTGATTAAATATTATTGTACTGTTATTGTATTGTTATTGTATGGGTGGGACGTGGGACTGCCCCGTGACACGTGGGACTGCCCCGTGACACGTGGGACTGCCCCGTGACACGTGGAACTGTCCCGTGACACGTGGGACTGTCCCGTGACACGTGGGACTGTCCCGTGACACGTGGGACTGTCCCGTGACACGTCACCATCACTGCACACCGTGACCCCGTGGGACTGCCCCGTGACACGTCACCATCACTGCACACCGTGACCCCGTGGGACTGCCCCGTGACACGTCACCATCACTGCACACCGTGACCCCGTGGGACTGCCCCGTGACTGTCGCTCACTTCATCCCGCCGGCGGAAGCTGCAGGCCCCCGCCCAATCCCACACCCCCCCACCAGCGGAGGGGGGTTATTTTAATACAGTTACCACCAAAATACAGTTTGTCTTCAACTTAGCAATATTTATTTGTTTATAATTTGTTAATATTGTGTAATCCACGTGCTAAAATAAAAAAAATCAATCTAAGAAAAGCACAGTGTGACATATGATGCCCAGGTATATCCAAGCAACCTATAATAATAGTTGTATAGACCGAAACCTGCCTATAATGTGGTTGGTGTATATCCAACCTACAGAACTGCTTACTAACCACCTAATCCTGATAGGATGTACCTTCATTATTTCTTATATATAACATGATGGTAATATATGTATAAATATAGTACAAGTCATGTTGTATATCATGCTGTATGACTGCACAATGTTGTGTATCATGCTGTATGACTGCACAATGTTGTGTATCATGCTGTATGACTGTACTGTGCTGTATATCATGTTGTATGACTGTACTATGCTGTATATCATGCTGTATGACTGCACTATGCTGTATATCATGCTGTATGACTGTACTATGCTGTATATCATGCTGTATGACTGTACTGTGCTGTATATCATGTTGTATGACTGTACTATGTTGTATATCATGCTGTATGATTACACTATTCACAATACTCATCATTTCAGAGAAAAATGTAGCTCTTGACAGGCTTACATTCATCTCGTTAGTGGCAGCCTGGAGATTAAAG